ATGTTGTGGACCGGATTTTGGTGAAGGCATTTGATAGTTTTCCTTACGAAGATAAACTTAGAGTTAAACAGCAGGACTGATCAACTCCACAGATTAATTTGGTGCAAAAGGTGGAGCAAAGTAAGATAAAAAAAATGTCCTGATGCATCTCAGTAATCCAGGTAAAAAATCAAAAGGAAAAAAAATTGTATAGGTCCTCTGGATGGGTTCTTCTTTAATGAAACGTTTCGTCTCTCTTCCAAGAGACTTCTTCAGTCTGAGAGTTTCAGGTAAAATTCAGGCTTCTCTCAGACTGAAGAAGTCTCTTGGAAGAGAGACGAAACGTTTCATTAAAGAAGAACCCGTCCAGAGGACCTATACAATTTTTTTTCCTTTTGATTTTTTACCTGGATTACTGAGATGCATCAGGACTTTTTGTGTTAGAGTTTCTCAATCTGATGAATTGTTTGGTTTTCTTGTGTTTTACTTTCTTATTTCCTGTCCAGTTTCCTGTGCCATTTCCTCTACTTCACCCCCATTCAGCATCTTCTGCCACTCACCTGTAGTTTGTAATCACCCAGGTGCTTCCACTTTCAACCTCTGCTTTATTCAACCAATCTCCTGTTGGCAGATCATTTTTCTGGTTTCACGTCTGTCCTGATCCTCTCCATGTTTACACGTTTTGTTCATTTTGTAAGTCTGCTGCTGCCACGTTGACTTTTTTCTTTTATCGTTTGATAAATCAGTGTCTGTTTGACTTCAGCTTCTTGTCTGCCTGCATTGGGTTCAATTACACATCGACCCTGACAAAAACATTCATGTTTTTGTCAGATTAATTTGGAGTGAGAGTAGCTGAGAGTCAGTGTCACTAACCAGGTTTGGCCAACAATGGCTCTAATGCCATTACTTAATCCCTTCTCAACACAATTCAATGAGGTTTTTAATTGCATCATATGAAYAAACATCAGTAATAAGTTGTATCAGTACCCAGTTTGTTCATGCAGCTGTGCAGCCTGGTCTCCAGCAGCAACACCCTCTGCTGAAGCTCCTCGTAGTCGTACGCCCCAATCTCCTCCTGAATAGCTGTCAGGATGATGGATAGGTTGAGCAGCTCTGACCGCAGGGTGGCCAGCGTCTGCAGGTCCAGTCTGTACTGCTCCACCACTGACAGGAGGGGCCGCAGCTGAGACACCTGACCCTTCAGCTCCTGTTGGTGCAGAAACGATCGGAGGTAAGACTGGCGGCAGAGTGGATAAATCAGAGGAAAGCTCTGCAGTTTCCATCACTCACATTTCATTTTGTAGAGCATTACACAGCTGATCAGGGCGCATTTGGCTAATTGCACTGCTCGCTATTTTCTATCTCACACATTGTGAACAAGAAACTGATCGAAAAAGAGATGGAGAGAGGAAAGAGGAGCTTTGTGTTGGAGATTCAACAGACTTAAGGTGTGTGTTTTTTATTGRAAAGCAATTTTCATTCATTGTGTTTTTCAAACATCTTTCTCCCTTCAAGAAATGTTTAAAGACTCATCTCTTCAGACATCACTCATTAAACCTTTTAACACTGCTGAAATCCCTCATCCCTCATCTGAGTTTTACATTTCTGATTCACCTGCTGTGTTTTATTATTGGGTTTAGYGCATCATGTAAGCTCATCTCACTGCACTAAAACCTGAACATTCTTTATTATTTATAGCACAATAAATTTATCTTTTTCACCTATGAAAATAATTCAGTTTTGCAGTTTGAAATAATGTCACAGAAGAACTTTTTTAATGCAGTGTTGCAATCTTCAAAAAGGTAAAACAAACATGTTTCATATATATA